CTCCCCCTTCGATTCTATTGGCTCTAACGGTCACAAGGGTATGTCAACCAACCAAATCGAGCAAGGGGGGCCAGAGATAGGTCAAATCCACCCAAATGACTCCAGATGGCCCATTTTTGGCTAAATCTCTCTAAAAAGGTCAAATTTCACTTGTTTTGCATCAATCTTGATACAGGGTACTTATTATATGTTGTACTTTGGATTCCTAAAGCTTTTAGTCTACTAACCCATCATCCAAGGGTAGTTTTCACTATCTGTAAAAAATAATTTTTGGACGGACACTATAATTTACAGTTTTTTACTATGTAAAATCTGAATTTTCTTTAAAATAAAAAACATTTATATTGATTCTGACACTTCTACATCCAACTCACAGGTTTATCATTACTTTGAGAACAAAGATTATTAATTTAACCCTTTTAGAAGGGAAGATATGGTCATTTGTTCTGGGAATGTCATTTTCGAGCCTGAGACCTGAAAAACAGGCTCAGAGTGGAACAGGTTAAAGGGGACCTATCATGCAAAATGCACTTTTGTACGTCTTTTATACATGAATATGTGTCCCCGGTGTTCCACGTGTCAGAAAACACAACCCTCTCTATTTTCCTCCATACCCAAATCTCTAAAAAAGGGGCTGCAACGGATCTGATAAAAACTGATCCAGATTTGAACACTGTCCTGACGTCAGGACGGTGGCGCTACGGCTATTGGGCCAACTCCACCAATCAGGAGGAGACAACCACGGCATTGCCGTTCGAAAGCGCTGGAGACGTTGTAGTACATATGCCAGGCCTCTAGATGGTGCTGTTGCTCACAGAATCAACCCTTGCAAAAACAGAGCTAACATTTTTCAAATTGAGCGAAATGAGGCATGGCTAAAATGCATGATCTGTCCCTCATCACATCCCCAGCCACAGCCGTGGTCTTAACCGGTCTTGACATAAAATCTCGAGTCCTATAGGTCCGATACAGAGACAATACGAAACCAAATGCAGTCGATTCGGAGACCAATACCGTTAAAAAGTGGTCTGGAGACCGGTCTCGAGTACAACACCAGCAAATATTTTCATACTAATGATTATTAATTATTATTCCCCTCTCTTCTGATACCAATACTTTGCCGATGAGAAAGTGTAGGCTACCTGTAACACTCTCCAAACTAGGAGCGGAATCATTCGAAAAATATAATATAGGATAATGCTATACAATGCTAACGGAGGCGAGACATACGTTATTCACGCGCTTATCCACACGTACGTTATTCACGCGCATATCCACACGTACGTTATCAACACGCATATCTAAGATAGTGCTTTCTAAGGTTCAAGGTTCTTTATTGTCAAACTGACATAGCTACAGAGTAATTATGTTGTTGAACATCTTATGTCACAGGCTTCTCCAACAATGCAACATAATAATAATACAGATAGTAAGAGTAATACAAAAAGAAAAATAGTTATAAAATAAAGTGAGTATGTGGAATAGTGCAGTACGAGTCTATATACAAGTTATTGGAATGATATATATTAGATATTAGATATATATTACTGAGTAGCAGATGAATGTTTTGAAATTGTTTCAGCAGTTCAATTGTTTAACAGTCTCACTGCCCGCGGGAAGCAACTGTCTCTGAATCTTTTTGTTTTTGCCAGGATGCTGCGGTAACGTCTGCCAGACGGCAACAGAAAGAACAGTTTGTGACTGGGGTGATGGGGGTCTTTGGTAATCCGTAGTGATTTCTTCCTGAGCCGCTGGGAGTAAAGGTCCTCCATGGATGGCAGCTCCGTCCTGGTGATGTGCTGTGCAGTTTTCACCACCCTCTGTAAAGCCTTACAATTGAGGTCGGTGCAGCTGCCGTACCAGGCCGTGATGCAGCCAGTCAGGATACTCTCTATGGTGCACCTGTAGAAGTTGCAGAGTATCCTGGAATCCATTTTGAACCTCCTCAGCCTGCGGAGGAAGAAGAGCCGCTGTCGAGCTTTCTTGGTGATGGTGGTGGTGTGAAGAGTCCATGTCAGGTCCTCAGTGATGTGGACCCCAAGGAACCTGAAGCTGCTGATTCTCTCCACCGTAGTCCCGTAGCTACTCCGCCGCTACGTGAGCGCGTACTTTGAGCGCATCTATGGTACGTCGCCGTGACGTCTGACATCGTTGTGACGTCGCCTGTATTCTACGTCAACCCATTCAAAATTGATGGAGGCGTTGGCGCACGTTGACACGTCAGTTCTCCGCTCAGTTAGCTTAGTTATCTGTTCTTTGGCACAAATCACACCTCATAGAAGAGCGTCCCCAGAGGTACGGACACCCCCGTGCCGAGCCTCTACCAGCGGATCAGGGCGCAGTTAAGCAGGTGAGAGCATGATCTCTGCATTAGAGCGGAGGGTCACAGGCAGCAGCTGGAGACACGGAGCGGACTCAACAAACCTTGTCCCAAAGTTTAAGTCGTAGTTAACTTCACTAGATATTTCAAAGCAATGTGTCCAGCAGGCGTTGAATTCTGCCACTGTACAAAGTGTGACTGTACCTGACAAAGTGACCACTGAACTATGGTATCTTCAACATGTCTCCCAGGTGACCAAGCTGCAGGTTTTCCTCTGATTTGAAGCATGATGTGATACACATGTGAAAAACATTTTCCACATGACTGACTGTGTGCTGATGTTCTCCTGATGTCCATGTGTCCTACCAACCCAGTCTCACGGCATTTCGTGTTATAGTCACGAAATTAATTTAATCTATTGATTCGTGTTCACCAACACGATTTTCGCATTTTTTTCGTGTCACACAGAACGATTTTAAAAGCAATGTATTTCTATTGGTAGTATGTTTCGTGCCTGCACCACGTCTTTTTGTCCGGTCGGGTCTTGGAATACCAGAGCTGTGTGGTTCATAAACACATTTTCTTACTCAATATCTTACCCTAAGCCTAACCCTATCCCTTTTATTTTAAATTGTATAATGTCGGAGTTTTTTTGCCGTCCGCGAGGAAAATAAATGGCTCAGAGCCTCAGAATACTGACATCTGTATTTTTTGTCATCTTTTTTTCCTTCTAATTTGTTATTATTTGGTGCAGGCACGAAACATACTACCAATAGAAATACATTGCTTCTAAAAATCGTTCTGTGTCAGAATACTGAAATCTGTATTTTTAAAAATCTGTTTTTCCTTCTAATTTGTTATTATTACATTGCTTTTAAAAATCGTTCTGTGTGACACGAAAAAAATGGCGAAATCGTGTTGGTGAACACGAATCAATAGATTAATTTCGTGACTATAACACGAAATGCCGTGAGACTGTGTTGGTCCTACAGGGAGCTGCTGGTGAGCCTGGCTCTGGGTCAGGTCCTGTCCTTGTTAATCTGTGCCATCAGCCTGATCAGCAAGTACCTGGCAGATGACTTCCATGCTAATACGCCACTCTTCCAGAGCTTTCTTAACTACATCCTGCTGTTTCTGGTCTACACCACCACTCTGGCAGTCAGGCAAGGTACACACAGAGTCCTCAACACACTGCTGCACTTTCCCTCTGTGCTTTCTGAGGACGAGATGGACCTAAAGCAGACAAACCGTCAGGCGCACTAGGGTCAGCTGTATGTAGGGAAGTATGCTCACCACACTCTCTGTCTCTCTCACAATTCAATTATATTCAATTAAAAGATGCTTTGTTGGCATGAACGTATCAAAAGTAAATCAACAGTAAAACATTAAACAACCACTGTTAACAACATTATTATGTAATTAAAACTCAAGGAGAGAAGCTGAACAGAAATAATGGATATCAACAACCAAATCAAAATGATGATAATACAAATATTATCAATGCATGTACATTATGCAACAGTGTGCGTTTGTGCGTCGTATCAGGGTGGTTGCTGAAGCAGTTCTGTTTCTGCTGTTTCATCAGTTGGTAGACTCTGATTGATAAGAGGTCAGACCAGTGGTGTAAAGTAACTAAGTAGATTTACTCAAGTGAAAGTAAAGTACAATTTTGAGGTACTTGTACTTTACTCAGTGGCGTTTTCTCCCGGAGGCCAAGGGAAGCCAGGCTTCCCCTGTTTTTTCGGATTGTAGTTATAATTTAAATAAATAAATAAAAACACTTTGTTTTGTTTCGATAATTCTCCTTTGCTGTGTGTTGCTGCCGGCCCGTCTCTCCCCCACTCTCATTGAGTATTTTACAAAGAGTGAAACAAACAGCGCCCCTCTAGATGTTATGGTGAAACAGTAAATTGCATTCACTGTTGCGAGAGGTGAAAACAAATTGAGGGATTGACCAATCAGATGAGGCCCACGTGATGCCCCTGCCAACCTGTGATTGGTCAGGGCCATGCCAAGGGAAGCCAGCCGCCTCTGGCTTCCCTTCAGAGGCGGCTGGCGATTTGATTGGACACTGCCATCCAATCGATCACCTGAATAGATGAGATTGTTTATATTTTTTAGTTACTTTTGGACTACGGACTGAGCTAATTACAGAGACGAGGACTGTTGCTGCACTTGCCGTGTGTTAGAAAGGGAAGGGAAGAGAAGGTGGACTATCGCATGCAAATGTTTCTGTACATAATTGTTTTTGAATTCATGTGCTTCATACACGCCTACTGATACTTTGATGTGAACGTAAAACTTTAAAGGTCTCCTGATTTACTTTGTGAATGAATGCTTCTTTTTTATTCATTACCGAATCTGCACTGCGCATTGAGCGGCTGGTATTGCATTTGGGGGGGGGGGGGGGGGGGGGGGGGGGTGTCTGCATAAATGAATAAGAAAATGCTTAAATGAATAAGACGAAAGAGTTTCGGCTGGAGAGTGCGTGCGGACCTGTCGGTTCGATAACAGGCGTGTGCAAGTCCTGCATCTGTGTGATACAAATGTGTGTAAAATGATACCGGGCGCTGTAATCACTCATCTGGTTACGTTATGGGTCGTTGGGCGGGCTCGTGCCTCGGCGGCCTGTCTCTTTAAGGAGCTCGTGAGCAGCGGAACTGGTCACAGCCTTCACAGCAGCCGCAGCCTGCCAGCCGCACTGCCTGTTCTTCTGAAAAGTTGAGTATAAAATCATTTGTATTTACGGTCTGGTGTGAGCAACGGCATGCTCATTAATCCTCGTGTCCTACGGACAGCAGCGTTTCACTTTGTGTCGCCAACAGTTGGGCAGGGCTCTGGCTAATACATGGAGCCACCCTGTCGGTGTATCTGTCACAGGCAGAGGTGGCGGAAGTACTTAGATCTTATACTTCAGCAAAAGTAGAAGTACTAGATTGTAGGAATACTCTGTTACAAGTATAAGTCCTGCATTCAAAAAGTTACTCAAGTAAAAGTAGAAAAGTATTAGCATCAAAATATACTTAAAGTACCAAAAAGTAGTCATTGTGCAGATTGGTCCATTTCAGAATAATATATATGATGTTTTATAATTATTGATCATTAAAGTGTTAAAGGGGACCTATCATGTAAAATGCACTTTTGTACGTCTTTTATACATGAATATGTGTCCCCGGTGTTCCAGGGAACTCACCAAGTGTCAGAAAACACAACCCTCTCTATTTTCCTCCATACCCAAATCTCTAAAAAAGGGGCTGCAACGGATCTGATAAAAACTGATCCAGATTTGAACACTGTCCTGACGTCAGGACGGTGGCGCTACGGCTATTGGGCCAACTCCACCAATCAGGAGGAGACAACCACGGCCATTGCCGTTCGAAAGCGCTGGAGACGCTGTAGTACATATGCCAGGCCTTTAGATGGTGCTGTTGCTCACAGTATCTGCCCTTGCAAAAACAGAGCTAAAAAATTTCAAATTGAGCAAAATGAGGCATGGCTAAAATGCATGATCTGTTTGGTATTTTGAAAAAAAAAAAGTATAAATATGCCTTATATAGGTATGGTCCTACACTATATTATTCAAATATAGCATGATAGGTCCACTTTAAGTAAAGTACAAGTATCTCAAAATGGTACTTTAGTACTGGACTTGAGTAAATGTACTTTGTTACTTTACACCACTGGCCTCCGGCTAATACATGGAGCCACCCTGTTAGTTTATTTGTCACTGGATGTAGAAACATGACCTACATTTGCACTCGTAGCTTTATAAAACGGAATGAGGCCTTTCATTTGGTCATCACATATTTTTCTTCATCAAAATACACTTTTACACAATTATAGATCCTGAAAAATAACCTTTCTTTTGCCAAATTCTCTCATAGTTTGTGATCCTAATATAAATATATTTTAAGAAAGAGTTTATGTTGATTTATTTACATCAATTAATGTCCTGCAAGACATTATGATATAAAAGTATTTGAAAACAATATTGATTTCTTTAACTGTGTAGATGAAGGTAGGGATATACTGTATATCCACCATCACATTTGGGTAAAAGTCTTCAATGTAACGTTTTATTATTTTCTTATATTTCTTTTGTTGGGTTCAGTATGTTAGACACAGTCAGTGACATGTAATAAACAAACTAATATTACTCTTCTGAGTTTGTTCATCAGCTGTTCAGCATAGCATTTCTGCCTGATAGACAATTAGAAGACTGAATGTTCTTAATCTCAGTTGAGTGATATCAAAATGTGATCCTGGTCACGTCAGCTCTACTTTGGTTTTATGAGAGAGCATCATCCTGCTAAAGTTTGTTTTCTTTTTTAGAGCTTTCTGTATTAAACATCCTCTACTTCCTAATGTTGCCCAAAACACTATATTTTGCCAATATCATGTGAGGTTGTAAAAAAAAATCAATTGATTTGAGAATTCTCATATGTTTAGAAATACTATGTAGATTTTCCAAAACACTATTTGTTTATCTATTGTGGACATGCATGGATTCATGGCAGTCACTGGACATGTATTAGTGCTCTGATGCTGGACGTGCCAGGGACTGTGACTAGATCCCACTCTTTGAAATATAATATCTATATGCTTACATTACACCATTTATTGAATGGCAACCCCTGTATCATAACACTTATTCTATGGCCAGATCTTTGACCAAACACAGGTTTAATATCATGCTGATGTTGGGGAGGGAAGCGTGATGAGCTCTGTCTGTGTCCCTGCAGCACCATGAGTCTGCGAGAGATCAATGAGAACGTGAAGCTGGCCCGCGAGTACGCCCTGCTGGGAAACTACAGCTCGGCCAGTGTTCTCTATCATGGATTGCTAGAACAAATCAAGAAGTATGTGTACACCATGCGGGACAGCAGTTATCAGCAGAGATGGCAGCAGGTAACATGATATTAAAAACTTGACATACATTTTCAGAAATTAGTCCTGCCTGTTCTGTTTACTGACTTTTATTGGTGTTTTCATCTCAGTTATGGCAAGAAATCAGTGAAGAGAATGGACAAGTTCAGGACATAATGTCCACTCTGGAGAACTTCCAGCTGGACACAACACCTGCTAAACCCAGCAACCACGAAGACAATGAAATAAGGCCTGTGCATGTGGAACAGCGGTATTGCACTTCGTTATTCACATCCAACTCTCACCTTTCAGCCTTCTTATTCGTTGCTTCAGTACATTTTTTCTCTGTTGGCAGTAATAGCGCTTTGGGTACTGTAGATCTATTTCCTGTTTGCAGTGTACAGGTTTGTGCTAGTTCCTGATGCAGTCATGTGATTGAGATTAGTCCCTTTGAGTCTCTGTTGTGACCTGGATTTGTTCCTGGTCTACCCCAAAGGAGTCCTGTAAATCTCTGTTTTCCGTCACTTTAAGGCTGGCTTCATGAGTCCTCCTGCTGAGCCTCGGGACGTTAAGGCTAATGTTTTTGTTTATAGCTACCTCTTCTTCTCTGTCCACAGACATTCTCCATGTCCTGTGAGGCGGCCAGGTAATGCAAATAAAGAAAGTAAAGCCCCCAACAACAGGCTGAGTGTGGCAGTGAGGGCCCAGCAGAGGCACTCCCCCCGCGGGGCCAACGGGGACAAAAGCAAACCTTCCAAGGGCAAAGAAAGGAAGGAAGTGAAAGAGGGCAGAGCAAAGGATGATAAGGTGCACACGGCACCTTCTTCTTCATTACACTGCTTAACTTGTTCTCAATATTTGCATTGTGGATCGCACAGTATCCACATGCTGCTTGTTTGCCTATTTCCTGGTAGAAATTCCAGTTTCTTGTCTGGAAGAAAGCAGACCCAATGGCTAACATTCAGGCTGCAGAGTAAGAAAGAGTAAAATAGTTTTGTGTGCCTCCCAGAACAAAGCTGATGTCCAGGAGAAAGAAGTGAAGAGGTTTGACGGAACAGGGTACGACAAAGACCTGGTGGAAGCTCTGGATCGAGATATTATATCTCAGAATCCCAATGTGAAGTGGTACGTGTTCATCATGAGTGCGGGGGTTGTAGGTATATACTTGTGTGATTTGAGAGAAATCTCATTCAGAACTTAAAGAGTTCTCTTTATTTCTAATTATGGAGCTACAGGACAAAATAACTCAAACAGCCTGCCACATCTGCAACACACTGACCACGCAATAAAACGCTAAACACAATTCAGATTTGATCCGCAGGTCTCCCTTGAAAAAGAGATCGTTGATCTCAATGGGATTTTTCACCTGGTTAAATAAAGGCTACAAACAATTAGAACTTACTCAAGTTATTAATGATATCTTAAGCTAAAAGACGATACATTTGTATTAAGCAGTTCACATGTAGCTAGTTAACATAACATGCACTGCAGTTGGGAAATTCATGACAGCTGGAAGATTTAACAATTGTCAAAAAGATTATAGTTAAAACTTTTAAGATCATTATATCATAATTGGAATCTGAATGGGGACCTGGCCGCTGCTTCTTCACTCTATCATACTGCTAGCTAGAGCAGCTGCTCATTATTGCCTTACAGATCACAGTTTGACTTTTAGCCTCATATTGTTCAGCACTGCTGTTTGTATTTCACTGTATTGTTTGTGTGCGTCCATAAGAGAAACATACCATTTGTTAAACACATATTTCAAGGAGCAGACTCTTAACCAGGTAGTGTGTGTTTTTCCTTTCTGAGTGAGAGTACACTTTGGAGCAAGGAGAACACAGGGTTAGGGTTAGCTCTGCTCCTAGCAGCTGGCAGGGAGCTATCCCCCTGATCAGATGGAATCCGGATGTCCATACTGCTCTACGACACTGTGCGTCGGCTTGGTCCTGTTATTATCTAAAGAAGAGATTGTTTTATGAACGTTTTGGGCAAGCTGAATCAACTATTAGTCAAAGCAATACACAGCTGTGGGGAAAGAATGCTAAAGCTCCAAAGCAGTTTGCCTGCAGGAGACAGGGGAGGAGAGCCAACAGCTAAGATGACCAGATCCAAAACTAAAGATTCCATATTGAACATTCTATATCACTGAGTTCCCCCCCACTTTAAACTGTCTCATCTCTTTCTTAGGGACAACATTGCAGACTTAGAAGATGCAAAGAAACTTTTGAAAGAAGCGGTCGTGTTGCCGATGTGGATGCCAGCTTTCTTCAAAGGCATACGAAGACCATGGAAGGTGCGGATTTAAAGACATTCCAGTTGTATTTTTTCTGTAATCTATTATCAGTATCATGCACAGAACCTTTTTATATTTGACCAAAGGGAGTGCTTATGGTGGGACCTCCTGGCACGGGGAAAACGCTTTTGGCTAAAGCTGTTGCTACCGAGTGCAGAACCACATTTTTCAACGTCTCCTCATCCACTCTCACCTCCAAGTACAGAGGGGAGTCTGAGAAGCTGGTTCGCCTTCTCTTTGAAATGGTAAGACTTCACATATGATGTTGTACACCAAGTCATGTTTTTCTAGAGCAACATCCCTTTGATTTTCACCCTTCACAGGTAGTGTGCCCAGCACAACACGGAGTCTTTCTCTTTTCCCATTCTTTGAAGGTGTGACTGTTGGCAGTGTCATCATTCCTGTAAAACCACAGCATCTATAGTGATAATTACAGTTAAAATATGTTAGCCTTAATGGCACATACAAGAAAACAAGCAGTATAAATGAAAGAAATACAAGAAAATAAATAAAGAACACTTGGTTACCCAACATGGAATATACTGAATGATGAAGAGAGATGAGTTTGCCTGGGACAATGTGTGCAGACCTGACAGGGGATATGTTCTCTCCAGTTATTGTAACTAGTTGTGACTGTGATACTTTTAATATTTTCTTGACTGATCATGTATTGTGTTGTTGGTCAGGCACGTTTCTACGCTCCCACTACGATCTTCATCGATGAGATTGACTCCATGTGCAGCCGCAGAGGAACCTCAGAGGAACACGAGGCCAGCCGCAGAGTGAAGGCGGAGCTGCTGGTGCAGATGGACGGTAACCTGACCACAACACAACCATGATAGGTTTACTACTGATCGGATAGCTACAGATCAATTCTTGAACTAGTAAACAGAAAACACACTGCCAAGTTGTTTTAGTTTAATCTTCCTACCCTACTAAATGTTAAGAAACAATTGACCTGTATTGATGCTGCAGGAAAGTCTTTGATATGAAAAGGCAGGAGAGTCTTTCAACCAGACAGGAAGAGGCAGGACGTCCTCCACAGCACAGAGACCCTCTGAAGACTCATTGTGAAGACATGATGAAGACTCAGGCTCATGATGAAGACTCAGGCTCATGATGAAGACATGATGAAGACTCAGACTCATGATGAAGACATGATGAAGACTCAGACTCATGATGAAGACATGATGAAGACTCAGACTCATGATGAAGACATGATGAAGACTCAGGCTCATGATGAAGACTCAGGCTCATGATGAAGACATGAAGACTCAGGCTCATGATGAAGACATGATGAAGACTCATGATGAAGACATGATGAAGACTCAGGCTCATGATGAAGACATGATGAAGACTCAGACTCATGATGAAGACATGATGAAGACTCAGACTCATGATGAAGACATGATGAAGACTCATTGTGAAGACATGATGAAGACTCAGGCTCATAATGAAGACATGATGAAGACTCAGGCTCATGATGAAGACATGATGAAGACTCAGGCTCATGATGAAGACATGATGAAGACTCAGACTCATGATGAAGACATGATGAAGACTCAGATTCATGATGAAGACATGATGAAGACTCAGACTCATGATGAAGACATGATGAAGACTCAGGCTCATGATGAAGACTCAGGCTCATGATGAAGACATGAAGACTCAGGCTCATGATGAAGACATGATGAAGACTCAGACTCATGATGAAGACATGATGAAGACTCAGGCTCATGATGAAGACATGATGAAGACTCAGGCTCATGATGAAGACATGATGAAGACTCAGGCTCATGATGAAGACATGATGAAGACTCAGGCTCATGATGAAGACATGATGAAGACTCAGGCTCATGATGAAGACATGATGAAGACTCAGGCTCATGATGAAGACATGATGAAGACTCAGGCTCATGATGAAGACATGATGAAGACTCAGACTCATGATGAAGACATGATGAAGACTCAGACTCATGATGAAGACATGATGAAGACTCAGGCTCATGATGAAGACATGATGAAGACTCAGACTCTTGATGAAGACATGATGAAGACTCAGACTCATGATGAAGACATGATGAAGACTGAGGCTCATGATGAAGACATGATGAAGACTCAGACTCTTGATGAAGACATGGTGAAGACTCAGACTCATGATGAAGACTCAGGCACATGATGAAGACATGATGAAGACTCAGACTCATGATGAAGACTCAGGCTCATGATGAAGACATGATGAAGACTCAGGCTCATGGTGAAGACATGATGAAGACTCAGGCTCATGATGAAGACATGATGAAGACTCAGGCTCATGATGAAGACATGATGAAGACTCAGGCTCATGATGAAGACATGATGAAGACTCAGGCTCATGATGAAGACTCAGGCTCATGATGAAGACATGATGAAGACTCAGGCTCATGATGAAGACATGATGAAGACATGATGAAGACTCAGGCTCATGATGAAGACATGATGAAGACTCAGGCTCATGATGAAGACTCAGGCTCATGATGAAGACATGATGAAGACTCAGGCTCATGATGAAGACATGATGAAGACTCAGACTCATGATGAAGACATGATGAAGACTCAGACTCATGATGAAGACTCAGGCTCATGATGAAGACATGATGAAGACTCAGGCTCATGATGAAGACATGATGAAGACTCAGACTCATGATGAAGACTCAGGCTCATGATGAAGACATGATGAAGACTCAGGCTCATGATGAAGACATGATGAAGACTCAGGCTCATGATGAAGACATGATGAAGACTCAGGCTCATGATGAAGACATGATGAAGACTCAGGCTCATGATGAAGATATGATGAAATGCAAAGGATACTATAGCACAGAATAAGACGTATGAATGAATCATTTAATGACAGGGGTGTCAAACTAAATGTAATCGCAGGCCACATTAGAATTATGGTTGCACTCAAAACGCCGGTTGTAACTATATAAATATACATATATAATATATATATATAAAATAATGTATTATATTACATTATTGCCTCTGAATTGGATTATTATCTGATACGATAATAATTTAGTAATTAACTACTTCTGAAAGCAGAAGTCCAGGGCAAATAATTGCAAGTCTCTTCAGTGTGCATGTCACAAAACGAGATGCATTGTGGGACATGTAGTTTATGGGCAACCTGCTTTTGTAAAGTGGCATGTAACCGTATAATAAACGTATTATATTCTTTGCAAGCTCTTGCGGGCCACATAAAATGAAGTCGCGGGCCGGATTTGGCCCCCGGGCCTTGAGTTTGACACCCCTGCTCTAGGATCAGTCCGACAGCAGCAGGAATGAAAGGTTCCGGTCTGGGGGGGCATCTTTAAATAAGTAGCCCCCCTCCCCTAAACGGATATGTTAATATGACAATTTAGTTTAGCAAAAAACTAAAATAAATGTGATTTAAAAAAAACTATTGATTGGAAGGTACAGATGAGTTATCTTATATTCACTTTTAGAAATGATTATTGTTCTTTGTAAAATGCTCGAAACAAGCTAGCATTGGTTTTCTGCAGCATTGCCTTTTCCCCAGCATTCTAGATGTAACAGTTTTAACTAAAGAATATATACAATTACAGCATCCATTCTCTCATTGCTGGGACTGCTGTCTAGGTGTTGGTGGAGCCTCAGAAAACGATGATCCATCAAAGATGGTGATGGTGCTGGCTGCCACCAACTTCCCCTGGGACATCGACGAGGCTCTGAGGCGGAGGCTGGAGAAGAGGATCTACATCCCGCTGCCTTCATGTACACACTCTGCTTCACGTACACACTCTCTGCTTCATGTACACACTCTCTGCTTCATGTACACACTCTCTGCTTCATGTACACACTCTCTGCTTCATGTACACACTCTCTGCTTCATGTACACACTCTCTGCTTCATGTACACACTCTCTGCTTCACGTACACACTCTGCTTCACGTACACACTCTCTGCTTCACGTACACACTCTGCTTCATGTACACACTCTCTGCTTCACGTACACACTCTCTGCTTCACGTACACACTCTCTGCTTCATGTACACACTCTCTGCTTCATGTACACACTCTCTGCTTCACGTACACACTCTCTGCTTCACGTACACACTCTCTGCTTCACGTACACACTCTCTGCTTCACGTACACACTCTCTGCTTCACGTACACACTCTCTGCTTCACGTACACACTCTCTGCTTCACGTACACACTCTCTGCTTCACGTACACTCTCTGCTTCATGTACACTCTCTGCTTCATGTACACACTCTCTGCTTCATGTACACACTCTCTGCTTCACGTACACTCTCTGCTTCACGTACACTCTCTGCTTCACGTACACACTCTCTGCTTCATGTACACACTCTCTGCTTCATGTACACACTCTCTGCTTCATGTACACACTCTCTGCTTCACGTACACACTCTCTGCTTCATGTACACACTCTCTGCTTCATGTACACACTCTCTGCTTCACGTACACACTCTGCTTCATGTACACACTCTCTGCTTCATGTACACACACTCTGCTTCATGTACACACTCTCTGCTTCACGTACACACTCTCTGCTTCACGTACACACTCTCTGCTTCACGTACACACTCTCTGCTTCACGTACACACTCTCTGCTTCACGTACACACTCTCTGCTTCACGTACACTCTCTGCTTCATGTACACACTCTCTGCTTCATGTACACACTCTCTGCTTCACGTACACACTCTCTGCTTCACGTACACACTCTCTGCTTCATGTACACACTCTCTGCTTCATGTACACACACTCTGCTTCATGTACACACTCTCTGCTTCACGTACACACTCTCTGCTTCATGTACACTCTCTGCTTCATGTACACTCTCTGCTTCATGTACACACTCTCTGCTTCATGTACACACTCTCTGCTTCACGTACACTCTCTGCTTCACGTACACTCTCTGCTTCACGTACACTCTCTGCTTCACGTACACACTCTCTGCTTCACGTACACACTCTCTGCTTCATGTACACACTCTCTGCTTCACGTACACACTCTCTGCTTCACGTACACACTCTCTGCTTCACGTACACACTCTCTGCTTCACGTACACACTCTCTGCTTCATGTACACACTCTCTGCTTCATGTACACACACTCTGCTTCATGTACACACTCTCTGCTTCACGTACACACTCTGCTTCACGTACACACTCTGCTTCACGTACACTCTCTGCTTCATGTACACACTCTCTGCTTCATGTACACACTCTCTGCTTCACGTACACACTCTCTGCTTCACGTACACACTCTCTGCTTCACGTACACACTCTCTGCTTCACGTACACACTCTCTGCTTCATGTACACACTCTCTGCTTCATGTACACACTCTCTGCTTCACGTACACTCTCTGCTTCACGTACACTCTCTGCTTCATGTACACTCTCTGCTTCATGTACACTCTCTGCTTCATGTACACACTCTCTGCTTCATGTACACACTCTCTGCTTCACGTACACACTCTCTGCTTCACGTACACTCTCTGCTTCACGTACACTCTCTGCTTCATGTACACTCTCTGCTTCATGTACACTCTCTGCTTCATGTACACACTCTCTGCTTCATGTACACACTCTCTGCTTCATGTACACACTCTCTGCTTCACGTACACACTCTCTGCTTCACGTACACACTCTCTGCTTCATGTACACACTCTCTGCTTCATGTACACACACTCTGCTTCATGTACACACTCTCTGCTTCACGTACACACTCTGCTTCACGTACACACTCTGCTTCATGTACACTCTCTGCTTCATGTACACACTCTCTGCTTCATGTACACACTCTCTGCTTCACGTACACTCTCTCTGCTTCACGTACACTCTCTGCTTCATGTACACTCTCTGCTTCATGTACACTCTCTGCTTCATGTACACACTCTCTGCTTCATGTACACACTCTCTGCTTCACGTACACTCTCTGCTTCACGTACACTCTCTGCTTCACGTACACTCTCTGCTTCATGTACACTCTCTGCTTCATGTACACACTCTGCTTCATGTACACACTCTCTGCTTCATGTACACACTCTGCTTCATGTACACTCTCTGCTTCATGTACACACTCTCTGCTTCACGTACACACTCTGCTTCATGTACACACTCTCTGCTTCACGTACACACTCTCTGCTTCACGTACACACTCTCTGCTTCATGTACACACTCTCTGCTTCATGTACACACACTCTGCTTCATGTACACACTCTCTGCTTCACGTACACACTCTGCTTCACGTACACACTCTGCTTCACGTACACTCTCTGCTTCATGTACACACTCTCTGCTTCATGTACACACTCTCTGCTTCACGTACACACTCTCTGCTTCACGTACACACTCTCTGCTTCACGTACACACTCTCTGCTTCACGTACACACTCTCTGCTTCATGTACACACTCTCTGCTTCATGTACACACTCTCTGCTTCACGTACACTCTCTCTGCTTCACGTACACTCTCTCTGCTTCATGTACACTCTCTGCTTCATGTACACTCTCTGCTTCATGTACACACTCTCTGCTTCATGTACACACTCTCTGCTTCACGTACACACTCTCTGCTTCACGTACACTCTCTGCTTCATGTACACACTCTCTGCTTCATGTACACACTCTCTGCTTCACGTACACACTCTCTGCTTCACGTACACACTCTCTGCTTCATGTACACACTCTCTGCTTCATGTACACACACTCTGCTTCATGTACACACTCTCTGCTTCACGTACACACTCTGCTTCACGTACACACTCTGCTTCATGTACACTCTCTGCTTCATGTACACACTCTCTGCTTCATGTACACACTCTGCTTCATGTACACACTCTCTGCTTCATGTACACACTCTGCTTCATGTACACACTCTCTGCTTCACGTACACACTCTCTGCTTCATGTACACACTCTCTGCTTCATGTACACACTCTCTGCTTCATGTACACTCTCTGCTTCATGTACACTCTCTGCTTCATGTACACTCTCTGCTTCACGTACACACTCTCTGCTTCATGTACACACTCTCTGCTTCATGTACACTCTCTGCTTCATGTACACACTCTCTGCTTCATGTACACACTCTCTGCTTCATGTACACTCTCTGCTTCATGTACACACACTCTGCTTCATGTACACTCTCTGCTTCATGTACACACTCTCTGCTTCATGTACACACTCTCTGCTTCATGTACACTCTCTGCTTCATGTACACTCTCTGCTTCATGTACACACTCTCTGCTTCATGTACACACTCTCTGCTTCATGTACACACTCTCTGCTTCATGTACACTCTCTGCTTCATGTACACTCTCTGCTTCATGTACACACTCTCTGCTTCATGTACACACTCTCTGCTTCATGTACACACTCTCTGCTTCATGTACACACTCTCTGCTTCATGTACACTCTCTGCTTCACGTACACACTCTCTGCTTCATGTACACTCTCTGCTTCATGTACACTCTCTGCTTCATGTACACTCACTCTGCTTCATGTACACACTCTCTGCTTCATGTACACTCTCTGCTTCATGTACACTCACTCTGCTTCATGTACACACTCTCTGCTTCATGTACACACTCTCTGCTTCACGTACACACTCTGCTTCATGTACACACTCTCTGCTTCATGTACACTCTCTGCTTCATGTACACTCTCTGCTTCATGTACACTCACTCTGCTTCATGTACACACTCTCTGCTTCATGTACACACTCTCTGCTTCATGTACACACTCTCTGCTTCACGTACACTCTCTGCTTCATGTACACACTCTCTGCTTCACGTACACTCTCTGCTTCACGTGCACACAGAGCTGAGCCCAGATTCTTTGCATTCTGTATCCTGTCCCCTGGGAGTACAGAAAACACACACACAGACACACACACACACACACACAGACACACACACACACACAGACACAGAGCTTCATTATATTAATAATAAGTCTTAAAACACACTTTGACCAAGCCTGGGCCTTGAGATCAGGTTGTACTGCAGACCTTAAAGCTCTAAATGCTGCTGCGTCTCTGTCTGCAGACGCAGGGCGGGTGGAGCTGCTCAAGATCAACCTGAAGGAGCTGGAGGTGTCCGAGGACGTGGACCTGGAGAAGATCGCAGAGCAGCTGGAGGGTTACTCTGGAGCCGACATCACCAACGTGTGCAGGTCAGCCATCCTTTCAACCAATGTGGTATGGAGGTTATTCCCTATCTTTATTCAAGAGCGTGGTCTTTACATTTGAGAGCATAAGTTATTGATTTCACGTTCAGATGATGTATTTCTTTCCCTCAAACCCTGTCCTCGCACTCAAATAGCGCTTGCTTGCGCTTAGATTTGCTGCTTCTGTGCGCTCGTCAAATGTCTGAGAGCAGACATTTGACGAGCGCACAGAAGCAGCCTGAGTGCGAGGAGAAGGTTTTAAACTAGAAAACAGGAAATCTGTGTAAGCAGCAATATATCTGAGTGCAAGCGTACAGTTTGAGCAGAAGCAGAGCAGATCTAAGCGCAAGCAGGCACTATTTGAGTGCGAGGACAGGGTTTGAGGGAAAGAAATACAAAATCTGAAACGTGAAATCAATAACTGATGCTCTCAAATTGAATGACCACGCTCTTGAATAAAGATGGGGAATAACCTCCATAATGTGGAACTTCACGTTAAATGGAGATGGTGACAATATATGTACCCAATATGACCATTGCTACAATAGATAAAACACAATTACCTATTGACGCATAACACAGTAAATAATTCCAGTTATCAATCAATCAATCAATGTTATATAGCCCAATATCACAAATGTTACATTAGTCTCAGTGGACTTCACAGTTTGTACAGAATATCAGTGACAATACGACACCCTCTGTCCTTAGACCCTCTGTCCTTAGACCCTCTGTCCTTAGACCCTCTGTCCTTAGACCCTCACATCGTACAAGGAAACACTTCCAGAGAAACCCCACAGTTTAAAGGGGAACATGGGAGAAACCTCAGGGAGAGCAACAGAGGAGGGATCCCTCTCCCAGGACGGATAGACGTGCAATAGATGCCGTGTGTAAATCAAAGAGATAATACATTTTACAGCATAGGTAGACCAAATGTTTGGAAATGCATGTGTCTATAATAATAAGATGAATCCACGAGGATGTCAACAATCCTGTGGGAGCCATCAGGGAAGTAGTATGATGAGAGTCAGGCAGGACCGCAGAGACAGGTTCAGACACGACTCAAAGTCCAGGACTCAGTCCAGAACTCAGGATAGAGGATCCAGGACTCAGGACCACAGCAACAGGATCAGCCACGACTCAGGGTCCCGGCGTAGATAGACACCAAAAAGAAATGTGGGGGAAGCTGGGTTATTGGGAACATGAGAGTACACAGGTACAGACAGAGAGAAGGAAGAAGTAAGGTGTCCCCCGACAGTCTAAGCCTATAGCAGCTAAACTAGGGGCTGAATCTAATCAGCCCTAACTATAAGCTTTATCAAAGAGGAAGGTCTTAAGCGCACTCTGAGACCACTTGCTGAAAAATAATTAAATGTGGATTTAAAATAAAAAAAGTATAACTTTTTGTAATGCAGACATTACATTGACTTAAGATTGCAGAAGATCACAATAAAAGCCAGGGCTGGAAGGATTATTGTAATAAGTTTGGTTAGTTAATTGAAGAAATCAAGTTTTGAATGAGCTGTGTTCTGTTGCAGGGATGCCTCTCTCATGGCCATGAGGCGAAGAATAGAGGGCCTAACACCAGAGGAGATCCGGAACATTTCACGGGATGAAATGCACATGCCCACTACTATGGAGGACTTTGAGTCTGCTCTGAAGAAAGTGTCCAAATCTGTGTCTGCAGGCGACCTGGAGAAGTATGAAAAATGGATCGAAGAGTTTGGGTCCTGCTGAAAACCCCCAGCATCAGTCTTTTAAGTAATGATGTTCAGAGGGTAGTGAGTCATTCAGGTGGGAATAGAGAGTACTGGAGATGTATCCATTCAATATTGTACATTGTGTTAATGTTGTAAAAAGGTGGCTCAACTTGATCATTCCTTACAAATGATGACATTTCTAACTTGTGTTAATGATCCTGAAATCTTCATCATGTAGCTGTGAGACAAAGTTTCCTGCGACACACTGACAGATGTTTTAAGTTACTTTCTCAAGTGTTATAGTTCTTTGTACCATTGTATCTGACAATGAGATGCTCAGCGAACTGCCAATCAATGTCAAATGTTTTGTTTTCCATTTTTGAATGCATTTTATTTTATTTTAAACAGTTTGGTTCTCTCACATTTTTTAATTTAACGCTAACAAGATATTTATGTAAATAAAGTTGACAATGATTGTACTATAAAACTGTTATATTCACTATGTCTTGCGTGTAATTTTGTTTAGTAAGCTAGGGAAACAAACTCTGAGGACCCTCTCACTTCTGTGGCTCACCTAATATTGATCAGCAGTCAAGGGGATTATTAGATAATAAGCATCCCTCACTTATTATCTCATTTACACTCAAATGAGATAATAAGTGAGGGATGCTGGTCATCAGGTCAGAGACTTGTTACTTGAGAGCTGGAGCTCTGTTTAGTGCCTATAACCCAGAGCATTCATCTGGTTGCATCTTACCATTAATTTATCTTAATATTTCTCACTACAATAAACAGTATATTATTACTGTACAATATGTACATGTCTTATTCTAATGACATGTATATAGACTCCTGCATTACTTGGTTACTTATAACTTTCTCTGCATTAATTAGCTTATTTCTTTCTGACATGCATATAGTTCACTTCATCTGCATTACTTGCACATTGGTCTGCAACATAATCTGCTCTGCTCTATTCTGATTTATTCTACACTTTTTCTATTTATTATTATTATTTATTTGTTGTATTGTTTTATGTCCTATATATAGTTTATTATGTTGCATTGTTGGAGATGTTCAGTTCCATATCTACACTAGCATCTTTGCATATGACAACAAGGTCTTTGAATCTTTGGAACTTTACCGTCTGCAGCCTGTAAGGAGATGGGCGTTACACGTCCCAGTGGAAGCTGCCTGTGTCGGGCAGATGTTGAGCTCTGTGTTTTCCCTCCAGGCACCACATATCAGGAGCAACGCAGCAAGTGTTCTGAGTGCAAAACAACAGTGAGCACACAACACGAAGGTTTGATGCTCATCAGAGAAGCATTTATTCAGCAGGATGTTAGACCCAAACCCACAGTCCAGCTTATGAATGCACACAAAAAGTCTTAAAATAGTAACATGTTTCGAAGAGCAAATTAAAATACATTTTATTTGTATTCTTCAGCAACACGTCTGAATTCATGCCTGACATATTGTTTGCCTCACAGGCTAATGTAGTGTCCTCCACGGAACTGTAATGTATTGAGATGATCACTTGAACCCAACACAGGTCATCGTGCAGCTTCCCACTTCTTCTTGCTGATAACACAGCAGTTCACTAGCCAGACTTAACATGCATCTTCCACAAAGTACATCATGCATTCTGCAGATCAACTGGAGAAAAAACACAAGCTCATCTTTAAAGGGGGTTTAAAAAAAGCATGGTAGGTGCATTTTAAAATAACACAAACATGTTGAAACACTCCCACTACTTAGTTTAGGATTGATTAAACACACCTCTTTGACCACTAACTGGCATTCTTCGCCACAAGTCATTCTTCGCCACAAGTCATTCTTCGCCACAAGTCATTCTTCGCCATAAGTCCAGTTTTCACTCCACAATTCAAACCTAAATACAGACTATTTACACAAGTCTTTCACCTTGGTACTTTATGTTATATAGTGCAGACAATCGGAACTAACGCATTTACATTCTCCATCATGACAAACAGGAAAGCACACAAAGAATCAATCCCCCCTTCACTGAGAGTCACAGAGGCAAAGAAACACAATCATTATATGAAAGCAAGCCTTAAGGGGAGTGTAGTGACATTCAGTTTAACAGAGGTGGTGGTGGGGGGGGGTGTACTCCTTTAACTTTGTCCTCACTTAAAGAATGAAAGTTGGGAGACACTGCATGCTTCATTATAAAGTCATTATAGTGCATCTGTTATCTCAGCTTTCTTCACATCCAGCAAAGGGTTGCATTTTAGAGAATAAAACATGTGAGCTGTACAGAAGTGTTTCCTAAAGTCTTCTCAGTGATCAGAGAGACTGGGTCAGCTCCATACACTTCAGTTTGTTCATATTTATGGGTTTAACCTGCAGTGCGCACATCTGGGTGTCTTTGCTTTCCCTTTAGCCCGGACACGTATTCTGAGCACTTTTAGGAAGACTCGCCTATGTTCCATTATAGGAGTAGTTTGTCATTTAAGAATTCCTTTCTTCAGTCGATGAGTTGTACATATAACATGTAATACGCAGGCTGGTGGTTTGACTTGATGGGGCATGGGTTATGTGTGGTTTAATGCTTAATACCACATGTATGACCCTACTTTTTGAAACAATACTGAAGATGTATGGAAGAATGAGCCACATTGCAAAAGCTTGTTAAAAAAAAAAAGGTGAGTCATTTCTAGTAGATTAATGTACACTCATTTATGACTTGGTAAAACTCTTATATGACAAATCACAGGAGCAAAGACATGGCTTTTTCTGTGCAGGGCAACACGCAGCTGGCCTCCATACATCAGTTGCTCACTTCCTGTTCCTCTCTCATCATGTTAGTGAATTGGAGGAATTGGGTGGCATTAAAGCACTTCCTGCTCCATGGCTTTTGTGCTTCAAAGGGTCAATTGAGGAGCTGCTTCCAAAATCAGAATACCAGCTTGTGACAAAATCATGCCATGCTGAAAATATAACGCAATGCCCAAGTTAAAGAACAAATAAGAACAAACTGAAAATAAAGAAGCTGGCCAAAAGCCCCCTTCCTTCAAGGCTTCTTCTCTTCCTCTTCTTCTGCCTCTATTTCTATGTTCTCGAGCAGAGTGTGCTTCTCGTCTTCCGGCATCAGAGTGAGAGGGTTTAGGTGAAAAATGTGCCTGTAAGAAAAGAGGCAAGAAAAATATCAACATTTTGTAGACATCAGGTAGGTACTGATCACACATATATATTCATTCACTCATGTTCCCCATGAAACATCTCACTTGTGTTCACAAGTTGGGAAGAACATGTCCAAAATCTTGACGATGACCGCTGATCCGACCACGCCGATCACCACCACCCACATCACCAGGAAGAAGAGAGGCAGCGACTCGGAGCTGAAGCGCCTCAGACGCTCCCTCAGCTCTTCCACCCACTGACACACAGCCTAAGGGAGCACACACACGTCAGCTACAGCTACTACATGTGGAGGCTAGAGAACACAGCTACTGACAAAGAGTTGATGGGAGGATTGTGTGTCATGTCATGGAGCTCCAAAAACTTCCAGTGAGTTGCTGGATTCTTAAATACTAGAAATGTTTTTATAGAAACTATCATTAGTATTCCACCCTCCCCACATGTTTCAAAAGCGTTATGATAGGACAGTGTAACAGTGATCACAGGAGCAGCCATACTAGCCAGTGCTGTGTGAATCCCTTCTGATAAACTGGCTCTCCATTCCCTGTTTGTGTTCAGAGAGCCCTGCAATGTCTGGACCTCTGAGGCAGTATGTGCTGTACCTTCAGGTCTAGCATCACAAATGGCTTACAGAGTAAGATGATATGAATTCTTTGGGTGGAGTTTCCATCTGAATGTGATCCGGTTGGCTTGGCTCTCTGACATCAAACTCATCATCATATCTGACGTCATACAGCAGGTCAGGGTCCATGCGGAGAGGCGTCTCTGGGAGCTTCCCCGGGGCGGCCACCTCCTCCTGCGTGGTCTCCGTGTGCTTCAGGGGGTACTGGCTGGTGGTCTGGGATATCAGCTGTTCTTCATCTAATTTAAATACAACACACACTTACTGGATCTGTATACAAATCATAACGAGGATCAGCAAATGCTCCATGTTTACATACCTTTCCTGGGGTTAGGTGGATCTGTGACCACCATGTCATTCTCCCTGGGAAGCCTGAAGATCTCACTGTGTCCGATGGGGTAGATGTTTGTGAACTGAGCCAGCTTCTGGAAGTCTGGGCTCATCAGTATCTTCACCTCACACATGTCAGGCTGTTGGACCTAAACGATAAAAACCAAGAGTGTGAAATCATATTCAATTACTACTTTATCAATCATGATCTGTGGGTTTATCTTAGAGATATTACCTCCTTGCCCTCCATCTCTATCACTTCACTGAACACCTGCAGAGCCAGCACCTCCTCTGTGTCGCTGTACAGCCGGTTCTGGCTCACCATCACCCGCGTGACCGTGGACACCAAGTCCCCAGATTCAAACTCACTGCTACCGTTGATGCTGTCTACTGGAAAAGAGGACTAAGTGACATGTCTCCAACAGTTTGCATTTGTACCTTTAGCACCTCCTCATTAGCAGATCAATCGGTCAATAAACATCGATGACAATTTTGCTCATGAATTAAATATCAAGTCATTCACCAAGTAAACAGATACATTTTACAATTTGAAGACATCCCTTAGACTCTACTTGTAATTCTGTAGAAGTTGCCGCGTGGTGAGGACAGCAGAGGCAAAAACTAAAAGGAGGATGTCAAAATCCTGCATTACAATCTTGAAGGAATTTGCATCAAAATATACTTACAAATGTACCATGTACAGAAGTAACTGTACTCATTCAACACAACAGTCCATTTCTGAATAAGATATGATATATCATTGCATTCTATTGATGTATTAATGTGTTCATCACTTGAATGTTTCAACCGGTAGTGGAGAAGTTTATCTTAACCTAAATAATACATGAACAAGCATTTGTTGATTAGCATATATTTTGTATTAATGATCTAAATCTTAAAGGATGCCTAACTAAAGCTGTCGGGTGACTGTAGTACAGCAGGAACAGCTGAGGGGAGCTGGCATGGTATGCAAAAAAAGAAGACAACCCGAACCAATATTAATTAATTAATTTATATTATCGACAGGGTTTCTTCTGGCTGTGTTATACAAATGGTTTGGTCCGGGATGGTTCACGATGATAAGGTGAGGGGAACTCACAGAGCAGAGCCTGGCAGGTGAACCTGGTGACTCCGGACAGCTCCACCGGGATGTGGTTGACCAGCACCTGCTGCTCCCCCACAGACAGGTTCAGGCTGATCTGAGAGCAGAGGCAGCGGTGAGGCTCACATTAAACCTTTAGAGTTGTCTTTCTATGTACTGTAACGTTCAACGGGCCTACCTGCAGGCTGCTGGAGTCCTGCAGCTGTGTGTCCGCCACAGTCCCGGCTGTCACGTTAATCACGATGTTTTCCTGTGGAGGATATGAATAATCAGAGAGAACAAATAGGTGACACGTTAGCACGAGTAACGCTAAGCTAACGCTAAAACTGATCGTTGCTAACATGTTACCGTATTCAATTGGCTAGGCGACGGCTCTGTGCAGGTTACTGAAGCAAACAGAAGCGATAACACACAAAGTGTTTGACCCGCCGTCTCCATGATGCTCTACTTCACAGCGTCAGACAGCTGGTTTTAAAAGCGCTGTCTTGGCTCAAACAAAAACATTGAGCAAGACACACCCACTGCGCACGCGCGAGATATTTACAAACAGTCGTCTCGCGTTAACAGGAAACTCAGCATGGCGGTGCTGCTTGAAACAACGTTGGGCGATGTTGTTATCGATTTATTTACAGAAGAAAGGCCTAAAAGTAAGAAATAGTGCAATCTACACCCAACAGCAGCTCATTCTGTGAACAGGTGCAGGCTGAGCGAGCCGGGGGGGAGCTGCGGCTCTGTGAGCGACGGCTAGCTAAGCTAAGGCCGTTAGCTTGTTCTGTTATTGAACAACACACTGTCCTGTTCCTGACGCACAGCGTTACGGAGGCCGAGTTCATGTAGTGATGTGATGACTATCGGATTAATCTCTGTTCTCTTTTCTTCTCCAGCTTGCCTAAACTTTCTGAAACTATGCAAGATAAAGTACTACAACTACTGCCTCATCCACAATGTCCAGGTAACATTACACACTGTCTCATTCACAATGTCCAGGTAACATTACATACTGTCTCATCCACAATGTCCAGGTAACATTACACACTGTCTCATCCACAATGTCCAGATAACATTACACACTGTCATCCACAATGTCCAGGTAACATTACACACTGTCTCATTCACAATGTCCAGGTAACATTACACACTGTCTCATCCACAATGTCCAGGTAACATTACACACTGTCTCATTCACAATGTCCAGGTAACATTACACACTGTCTCATCCACAATGTCCAGGTAACATTACACACTGTCTCATTCACAATGTCCAGGTAACATTACACACTGTCTCATTCACAATGTCCAGGTAACATTACATACTGTCTCATCCACAATGTCCAGGTAACATTACACACTGTCTCATTCACAATGTCCAGGTAACATTACACACTGTCTCATCCACAATGTCCAGGTAACATTACATACTGTCTCATCCACAATGTCCAGGTAACATTACACACTGTCTCATCCACAATGTCCAGGTAACATTACACACTGTCTCATCCACAATGTCCAGGTAACATTACACACTGTCTCATTCACAATGTCCAGGTAACATTACACACTGTCTCATTCACAATGTCCAGGTAACATTACACACTGTCTCATTCACAATGTCCAGGTAACATTACATACTGTCTCATTCACAATGTCCAGGTAACATTACATACTGTCTCATTCACAATGCTCAGATAAAACACTCTTCATGAGACAGGTGTGTGGAGAGGCATGGGTAGATCAAAAGTTCCAAATATTTATTCACACATACATTCTTTGATTCTTGATTGACGTTGCAACAAAAATATATTTTCTGCAAGTAAGACAGTTTGGGGGAGATTAATTGCAACTTTGACAACTTTAGACTCATCAAAGGGTCAGGTAGATATGTGAAGATACTGTGCTCTCCTAATTTATCTGTCCACTTTTGAATTTGAAGCTGTGTTAGTAACGTGTCCTTGTGTCCTCTTCAGAGAGACTTCATCGTGCAGACTGGAGACCCCACTGGGACAGGGCGCGGTGGAGAAGCTGTCTATAGGTCAGTCCTCTTCATCACCACTGTTGACTTTCTTTCACACCGCAAGTTGAACACTGATACATTTTCTGTTCTGTGTGTGTGTGATTAGCAAACTCTATGGGGACCAGGCTGGCTTTTTTGATGCAGAGAAAGCACCACGTATCAAACACAGGAAGAAGGGCACGGTGTCCATGGTGAACAACGGAAACAACCAGCATGGTTCTCAGGTGAAAAAGAAAGGATCACACTGTTGTTTGCCCTGCTTGTTTCAAAAAGCTTCCAGAGCAGAAGCAACAGAAAATGATCAGCCAAGTTAAAAATAACTTGTATAACTCAGCTGATTACGACACATAAATCATCAGGTCTTCTTATACACAATTAAGAATAGAATGAGTATAGTACTATTTGACCATGTTGTACTGAACCATGGTCAATGGTAATGGGTGGATGGAGAGACTTTATGCATCCATGACAATCTGTTATTCTGTTCCTCAGTTCCTTATTACCATGGCTGACAACCTGGATTACCTGAATGGAGTCCATACTGTGTTCGGGGAAGTGACAGAAGGCATGGACATCTTGGCCAAAATCAACGAGGCCTTTGTGGACAAGGACTTTGTCCCCTTTCAGGATATCAGGTGAACTAACACAAACTATCTATGCAGTAGTTCCCTATGTTTCCAAAATCATATGTATTATTTATCAGAGAAACATCTGGGGGGTTGGGGTTGCTGCAGGATAAACCACACAGTGATCCTAGAAGATCCTTTTGATGACCCTCCTGATCTGCCAGTGCCGGATCGATCCCCTGAGCCCACCAGAGAGCAGCTTGACGTGAGTGCCACTGTGGATCCATTCATAAAGCCAAAGCTTGACACAAGATAACTGAGAAACTAACTTTCAGAACAAGAGATCCATGCTCAGCAAACCTCACCTGGACATTATACATGACCAAATGCATACATGTCCACAGTTTATGTGAAAAGAGCTTCATCTGTCTGAAAACCTCCAACTGTTTCTGATGTGGTGTGCAGAGTGGCCGAATCGGAGCAGATGAAGTGATTGACGATGCGGATGGAAAAGAAGCAGAGGAGCTGGAGGAGAGGTTAAAGGAGAAAGAAGCCAAGACTCAGGCCATCCTGCTGGAGATGGTATGTAGAAGAAACGTGCTCTCAGCCTTAAATGGAACATACCAAGAATGCAGTATGTCTACGCTCTTCTGTCACACCGTCCCTTAGGTCGGTGACCTCCCTGACGCAGACATGGCGCCTCCAGAGAACGTCCTGTTTGTGTGCAAACTCAACCCAGTGACCACAGACGAGGACCTGGAAATCATCTTTTCTCGTTTTGGGACCATAAAAACGTGAGGCTTAGCTCCAAGTTCTACGCACTGTAAACTGCCATTTGTATTCAAAATGTTTATACAACTAATTTTGTGGAAATTGTTTTTTGATATAACACTTTTCTCATGCTACTTTGTTATGTGTAGTTGTGAGATCATCAGAGACTGGAAAAGTGGAGATTCCCTCTGTTACGCTTTTATTGAGTTTGAAAAGGTGAGCATCTCATGTGTCTGCGTACTGTACAATATCTACCTGAGCTACATGTGCACTGGTCTTTATGAAGTGTGTTGGACTGTGTTTACACTTCAGTTACAGCTCAACAATTAATGATGTTAGTATACCTAATATTATATTACTATCATTTGAATCAAAACGGAAACAGATGGCATAGCTCGGTCCCAAGTAGAAAACTTGTTTGGCAACATTTATCTTGCTTTTTAAACGGACATTGTTGAACTACTAGAGTGTGCAGTGAGGGTAGCTCGACAGGATGCTGATGAACTGTAGTGAAGCATTGTCAGAAACATAAAAAGTGAAAACTATTTCACAGTTCAGAGAATGGCTCACTTTTTTTGATTGCGGGGCTTCTCAAACATGAGGACATTTGACATATCTTTCAGCTCATCAGTCTTTAGTAAGTGACAGGAAACTTTCTGCAGAATGGGAAGTATAAAGTAAATCATGAACTTTGATTGTTCATTATCACATAGATGCTGAAATATTATTATACAGATTTGAAAGTAATTTGCACTTGACCCTCAACCCTTCGAACACCTCCGATCATGAGCTGTGAATCAGGAGGGAACCAGCCCTGAGCAGCACAGCAGTAGTGTTCTGAATGGTGGCGCTGACATGATGAAGTGAATCTGTAAAAACAGCCAATGAAAGGTTCACTCTTAAATATCTGATATTTGTGCTGCTAGCTTTTGTTTATGCTTTAAATGAATGTACATATAGAAATGAGAGCTGCGGATAAGATATCAGACAACTATTAACCTAGTAATTATTTTTCACTTTTTATTCAAAAGTTCTCTGGTCCAGGATTCCCAAAACAGGGTTTTTATAGTTCTCTAAACTTCTGAAATTGTAATTGACATTTAAAACAATCTTTTTACATTTCGTTGACTAAATAGTCAAATCAATAATTATAATTGTTGGTGGGAGCTCCTATAAACCAAAAAACCTTCCAGTTGGAAGATCACTTTTGAAATGAGGTTTATTAATGACATGACATCATCTGTGCCTGACATTGACTTCATAAAGTTCCCCTCTAACCTCGATTTGTTTATTTTTTCTCCACAGCAGGAAGACTGTGAAAAGGCCTACTTCAAAATGGACAATGTGCTGATTGATGATCGTCGCATCCACGTAGACTTCAGCCAATCAGTGTCGAAGATTAAATGGAAAGGCAAAGGTACTCGTAGTGAAGCCTGCAGGGTCTGCATGTTTTTCAATATTGGCGCATTTCCATTGCAGGGCCTCGCTCGGCTTAGTACGGCCTTGTTCGGCCTTGTTAGGACTTGTTAGGACTGGCTCACTTTATGCTGCGTTTCCATTACAGTTTAGTAGCTGGGGCAGTATCTATAGTAACGCAGTGTAGGCGGAGCCGTGCCGTCATCTTCAAAGCGAACCACAAAACCAACATCAGCCGTTAGCTGTTAGCACTCAGAGCTCACAGCTCCTCATATCTGTTCAGAGACTAGACAAAAGTGAAACAAGTACAAACCACAGACTGCCTGTGTCAAAACACGCATTTTAAAAGGTTTTTCGCCTGCCGTCTGTCTGCAGACTTGACAAAGCATTAATTCATGGTTTTTACTAACCGGTATCAGTATGTTGTTACTTCGGCATCATTTTGAAACGTTTATTACAATTAAATCACGGTCAAATATGTTCATCTTGTTGTAGTTGTAGCCCCCTTGCCAGCGATTCTCTCTCTAGTTTAGCATACTCAGCCCGACTCAGCCTGGTTGTTGGTCCGCTAAGAACCTCGATTTTATGGGGCCAGAAAAACTGTGAAATAGTACCCGCTAGCCGGTACTACGCCTAGTGGAAACGCAACCAAAAACAGGCACGCTTAAACCGCGCTTCGCGCTGTAGTGGAAATGCGCCATATGTCTCCTTTATGTTCTGAAGTTTGCAGCAATCCAAACCTTAATTCTGTATTTCGTGTTCAACCTAAGTTTTAATACCCATACTACCTTACTTTTTACTATGCCAGAAAAAAGATTGAATATGTCCTAATACATAGTGTTTCAAATGCAGTATGCAAAAAACAACAGGAAGTCCTATTGCACCCAGTCCCATTTTACAGTTTGCAAGCTAGCATGCTGTTCTAACACAATCTTCTGCTCAGCAGGTAAACGAGCCAGAACATCAACGTTGCAATGATATAACCAAGTAGTATGTCCCAAGTGTATGCCTACTGCATGCAACAGTGCACATTGTAAAGGCAACTGTAGTACATACATTACGTCAGCTAAATGAAATGTAATGTAATGTAATGTAGTCGTGATTCAGCCCACAGAGTGTGTTTCCTGAGGTAATAGCCCTGTCTCTGTCATAGGTGGCAAGTACTCTAAAGATGACTTCAAAGCCTACGAGAAGGATGCTGGCAACCGATCCAAATTGGCTCTGAAGGATCAAGTGAAGCCCAAACAAGAGTATCCTTCTAGTTAATAGGCTGGGGTTCCAGCTTCCACTTTTCCCACATCATAACAAATATGTCTGCTATATTTAGCTGTACAGTCTCTGTTGTGGTGGCCATTTGATCTGGTCTAACTTTCTCAACTTCATGGAGATTTCCATAACTTTCCCTAAAGTTCCAAGTATGACCTGTTAATTGAGGAAGAAGAGGAGGCGATGAGCCATCACCACTCTGAGAAGAAACACAAGGACAAGAGGCACCATCACCATTCAGATGATGAGGACAGCAGGAAGTCCAAAAAGCACAAGGTAGCTTCAAGCCAGAACTACAGCATTGTGTACTGCTCTTCCAATGTTCATATTAAGAGGGGAGTTTTTATTGATTTATTCTGTATGTAGGAATATGTGATGTATCTTACCTTATCCGAATCAAGCGGTGTGATTTAAACACCCGTTTCCCACACAAAAGAAATCAGATTGTTTGGTGTTTCTGTGTGTTATTGTAGGCAGCCATTTGACTGAATCCAATGCACAGTTTTCTAGATGTTTAGATGATGCTCTCTTTAGTTTTGTACATGGAGAATGAAACACTGCAATGGTTAAACCAGACTCACAATTGAAAGGGCAGAAAGAGCAGCAATTAAATAAGAATAGAAAGATAAAAGAAACTGGAGGTTAAATGTGTCAGCTTTAAATAGGAAGCACTTTTCTGTTTCAGTGTCATGTGCACGACTATGCCTCTTACTCGCTGGCCTGAACAGGACATGTGTTGCTTTAGCAAAGCCTCCTACTTCACTATAGAATCAGGTCTAAAGTAAGCACTGCATGAATATCAGCTGGACATACTTTGGACTGACAAATCCAGTCTCACCACTGTTTTGACTACAGAGGGCCCAGAGAAAAAACGCAAAAATGCGATATCAGAGGTTCACTAATGATCGAGGATCACTAATGCTCTCTGGTCTGGCAAACACCTATAAAACCCCTCATGCAGGACTTTGCTGCAGGTCCGGTTAGAACTTGGTCCGGGTCCACACATGTGGGGATCCCAGGGGCCATACACAACCTTACTTGCTTTGTGGACAGAATAGTCTTCCCCATTAACAAGCTTCACTGTCTCCAGTGGTGGAGGAAGAACCATCACCCTGCAAACACACTGTGAAAACTTCACCACAAACAATGCATTTAAAACGTTACGTTTCTAAAAGTATGTAAGTATTATTAGCTAAATCTATTTAAAGTAAAAGTATTGACTTTGCATTAAAGTGTTCCCTGTCCCTTCATACAGTGAAGGAAATAATGATTTGATCCCTTGCCGATTTTGAAAGTTAACCCACTTACAAAGAAATGAACAGTCTATATATATATATATATATTATTTTTTTGTAATTTACTTTTTATTTGCATTTAGTGTCAAACATTGTCACAGCATATTGTACATTGCATCTTTACATGAATGACATACATCTGTTCATAGTTATTTTCAGCAATATACACATGACACAAAAAACACAGTCTATGTTTTAATGGTAGGTTTATTTGACTAATGAAAGACAGAATATCAAAAAGAATATCCAGAAATGTACAACATATAAGAGATATAAATTGATTTGCATTTCATTGTGGGAAATAAGTATTTCATCCCCTTGGAATCAACAAGAATTCTGGCTCCCAGAGATACATATGGTTACATTAGTCCTCTTCCTTTAAGAAAGTACTCCTAATATCAACTTGTTACCTGTATAAGAGACACCTGTCCACAGAATCTATCAATCAGATTCCAACCTCTCCACCATGAGCAAGATTAAAGAGCTGTCTTAGGACCTCAGGGACCACATTGTAGACCTGCACAAGGCTGGGATTGGAACTCCCTGCCACTACATATCCGACAGTCTGATTCCATAACAACATTCAAAACCAAACTCAAAACCCACCTGTTCAAACTGGCCTTTTCTTTATAAACTGTACCCTGTGTCCTTCTGTGTCCTTCTGTGTCCTTCTGTGTCCTTCTGTGTCCTTCTGTAGTCCATTTCCTGTTGTTTGTCTTGTTTTACCCCAGCTGATATTTCACTAAATCCACTGTTTTAATTGTTCCCTATATTGCCCCTATGCCCTGTAAGGTGTCCTTGGGTGCTATGAAAGGTGCCCCCCAAATAAAATGTATTATTATTATTATTATTATTAGCTGGGACCACAGTCGCCAAGAAAACTATTGGTAACACACTACACCATAATGGATCAAACCCTGCAGCGCCTGAAGGCCCCCTGCTCAAGAAGAACATGAAAGGCCCGTCTGAAGTTTGACAATGAACATCTGAATGATTCAGAGAAGGCTTGGGAGAAGGTGATGTGGTCAGATGAGACCAACATCGAGATCTTTGGCAGCAACTCGACACGCCCTGTTTGGAGGAAGAGAGATGCTGAATGTAACCCCAGAACACCATCCCCCCCCCCCCCCCCCCCCCCCCGTCAGGCATGGAGGTGGAAACATTCTGCTTTGGGGATGTTTCTCTGCTAAGGGGACAGGAGGACTTCCCTGCATCGAGGAGAGGATGGACGGGGACATGTAACGTAACATCTTGGCCGATAGCCTCCTTCCCTCAGCCAGGACACTGAACATGGGTCATGGAGGGGTCTTCCAGCAGGACAATGACCCTGAACATACGGCCAAGGCAACACAGGAGTGGCTAAAGAAGACGCACATTTAGGTGAGGGAGGGGCCTAGCCAGTCTCCAGACCTTAATCCCATAGAAAATCTGTGGAGGCAGCTGAAGCTTCCAGAGGCCAAGCATCAGCCTCAACACCTGAAGGGTTTGGAGAGGGTCTTCAGAGAGGAGTGGACCACAATCCTTCCTGAGATGTGCACAAACCTGGAGACCAGCTACAAGAAGCGTCTGACCTCTGTGTGACCTCTGTGTGTCCAACTAGGGTTTCTCCACCAAGTACTAACACATGTTCTGCAAGGGGATCAAATACTTATTTCCCACAGTTAAATGCAAATCTATTTTTATCTTTTATATAATGTCTATTTCTGGATTTGCTTTCTGATATTCTTACTTAATAAACCTACCATTAAAAGTATAGCCTGTTCATTTCTTTGTAAGTGGGCAAACTTACAAAATCTGCAAGGGATCAAATACTGATTTCCTTCACTGTATATGATGTTTCTGCTGTATCAATGTGTGTGTTGCATGTCATATACTGTTGGTTAGTTTATTCTGCAGCAATGCATCATATTTAAAAAGATCATCACATGATTGTAGCTTTGTCCTTTGAGAAACACGTCAATCAAACACGTCAATCATCTGATGATTCATTTTCATGCAATGTACTGTACCTGGATGTAGTTCCATTCTGCCCCTAACAGTCTCAAATGTTCTGTGACATTTCCAGGACAGCGAGGATGTCCGGCGGGACAGGAAGAAGCGCTCCCGTTCCCGCTCCAGAGAGAGAGAGCACAAACAAAAGCATGGGAAAGATGTCCGTGATAGAGGCCACGGGAGCTCCTCCAAGAAGTCCAGTGATAGAGAGAGGAGCAGGTACAGATGAGGAGCTCCCATCCTTCACAGTATCCTCCTCTTCAACCATTGGTGCTCTATAGGATAAACATTGTTTTAGAAACGATTTTCTAATAAACACATTTTTTTTTTAAACCCCCGAAATTTGAAATGTGTCTTTTATTAATTTCCGCTAGAAAGTTACTTTCAAATGTTGTATGCATATTTTCCAACTCCAAGCTGTATAAACTTAAATGCGTATTGGAATTTAGCACATCAGATCAACACCCAACATGAAGGTGTGCATAACTATTAGGCAGCACCTTTTTCTCATGCAAAATGAGATTTAACTGACTTTTGAAAGTCAAACCTTTCAAAAGTCTCAGTGGGATGCACCACTCTTGAAATTGCTAAGATATTGCTAAGATATCACAGAACCATCAAATGTTTTGTTGCAAATAGTCAACAGGGTGGCAAGAAACATGTTGAGACAAAAGATGCAACTTAAAGGTCACCTATTATACTATATTAGAACAATATATTATAGGGCCATATCTTTACAAAACATGTCCCTGAAGTGTTTTGCTCAAAATACCAAACAGATCACCCATTGTAGCATGCCTCATACCCCTCTATTTCAACCCTGTTACTAAAGTGCTGATTCTGGGTCTGGCCCTTTAAATGTAACTTAAGTTAAAGTTAAAGCCTTTTATTGTCATTGTACACAGAGTACAACGAGATTCAGAGTGCAACTCTGTCCCGGTGTGCAAAAAATACAAACACATACAGAACACTAAAAAACACGGCCATAGGACAGACACCATAAACAATCATACGGGGGAATAAATAGTTAAAAATATTGATATAAAAATAGTATATAAAGTGCATTAAAAGTGTGTGTATGTGTGAGACTGGTTATGGTTATTGCATTATGTGTGGTGGTTAAGCAGCCTGACGGCCCAGGGGTAGAAACTGTTTTTGAGTCTGTTTGTCCGTGAGTCGAAGCTCCTGTATCTTCTCCCAGAAGGCAGGAGAGAGAACAGACTGTGACCTGGGTGAGAGCTGTCCTTTATTCTTTTGTTAGCTCTGCTGAGGCAGCGGGAGGTGGAGATGTGCTCCAGAGAGGGCAGGGGGCAGCCCATGGTTTTCTCTGCCATCCTGATCACTCTCTGCAGGGCTTTCTTGTCCGCAGCTGAGCATCCTGCATACCACCCAGAGATGGAGTATGACAGCACGCTCTCGATGGTTGTCCGGTAGAAGGACACCAGCAGCTTCTTGTTCAGTCGGTTTCTCCGAAGCACCCTCAGGAAGTGTAGTCGCTAAGGGCCTTCTTAACTGCTGCAGTGGTGTGTGCTGTCCAGCTGAGGCTCTCCGAGATGTGAACCCCCAGGAACTTAAAAGTGGAGACCCTCTCCACTCTCTCTCCATTGAGGTGAAGGGGGGCGTGTTCTGGACGGTGCTTTCTGAAGTCTATGATGATTTCTTTTGTTTTGCTTGTGTTCAGATGTAGGTTGTTGGCTGAACACCACGCAGACAGCTTCAGGATCTCGTCTCTGTATGCCGACTCGTCGTCTCCCTTATATATTTGGCCGACCACGGTGGTGTCATCTGCACATTTTATAATGGAGTTGGAGGGGTGGGTGGGAGAGCAGTCGTGTGTGTAGAGTGTGTAGAGTAGCGGGCTCAGCACGCAGCCCTGCGGGGAGCCAGTGCTGAGGGTGCGGGTGGAGGAGCAATAAGGGCCTATTTTCACTGTCTGAGGACGGTCTGTTTGGAAATTATTAATCCAGGCACATATGATGGAGGGGAAACCTAGGCTTGACAGTTGTTCCACTAGTATGTCAGGTATGATGGTGTTAAAAGCAGAGCTAAAATCGACAAACAGCATCCTTATATAGTTGCCTGGGCCTTCTAGGTGGCTCACAGCTGTGTGAAGGACCGTGGAGATGGCATCATCCGTGGATCTGTTGGCTCTATAGGCAAACTGATGAGGGTCGAGGGAGGGTGAGAGGCTGGCTTTGATGTAGTCGGCTATCAGTCTTTCGAAACATTTCATCACCGCCGATGTTAGGGCTATGGGCCTGTAGTCGTTGAGCTCTCTGACTGGTGTCTTTTTGGGGACAGGAATGATGGTAGCCGTTTACAGACAGGATGGGATGCAAGCTTGTGACAGGGACAGGTTGAATATCCTGGTCAGGACCCCTGAGAGCTGGTCAGGACCCCTGAGAGCTGGTCAGCACAAGCTTTGAGTACTTTGCCGAGTACTCCATCGGGTCCTGCGGCTTTTCCAGGATTCACAGACCTCAGCTTCACCTGATGTTCTTTGAGAGTGGGAGGTGGTATGGAGCTGGTAGTTTGCAGGGACAGAGGCAGAGTAGAAAAGTGGGGGGGTCTGCTGGCCTCAAAGCGGGCAAAGAAGTGGTTTAGCTCCTCTGCAAGGTGGGCGTCAGCTCTAGTAGTGCCAGATGTTTTGCCCTTATAGTTGGTTAGCTGGTGAAGGCCCTGCCAAACGCACCGCGCGTTGTTATGAGCGAGATTCTCCTCCACTTTTCCCTTGTAGTCCTCCTTCGCAGCCTTGATGCCTCTCCTCAGGTTCGCCCTTGCCATGCTGTACTGGGCTGCGTCCCCTGACCTGAAGGCTGTGTCACGGGAGCTCAGGAGAGACCGCACCGCTCTTGTCATCCATGGTTTTTGGTTTGGGTAGACCTGAATGCGTTTTTCCACAGTTACAGTGTCTGTGCAGAACTTGATGTAGGATAAGACAGCCTCTGTGTGTTCCTCCAAGTCTGTCTGTTCAAATATGTCCCACGCTGTGTGTTCAAAGCAGTCTTGCAGTTGTGAGAGTGCCCCCTCGGGCCAGGTTCTGATATATTTGACCACCGGCTTGGTGTTACTTCTGAGGGGGGTGTAAGCTGGGATGAGAAGCAGTGAGAGGTGGTCAGATAGACCTAAATGGGGGAGTGGTACCGCTCTGTAGGCATGCTTCAGGTTAGAATACACCCGGTCCAGTGTATTCTTTCCTCTGGTGGTACATCGTACATATTGTACAAATTTGGGAAGCACCTTTTTTAGACATGCATGATTGAAGTCTCCAGCTACAATATGAACTCCGTCGGGATGGGACCTCTGTTGATTATTTATTAAGCTCTGGAGGTGGTGAAGTGCAATGCTGGCGTTAGCATCAGGTGGGATATAAACAGTGTTAATTATCACCCCCGTCAGCTCTCTGGGCAGGTAAAAGGGTCTGCACAGGATAGACATTACTTCCAGGTCAGGAGAGCAATGTGTATGTGTAACCCTGCTGCTTGATACATGTCTCGGGCAAGATGGCGGCGCGCTCAGTCGCTGCGGCTCACGGCTCTCTGTTTTGGTTGTGCACTGTTTGTTTTTTGTTCGTGTGCGTGAACACCCTAGAACAGGCCAATTTCATATACAGTCGCATGGACTTATTTGACATAGGGATGAGTTGTCGCTCTGACATCACAGCCGATTTCCACCGGACTAACAACATCCCGGAGGACATAGCGAGACCGCTCGGGTCTCCTTGGATTGTTTTCGGGCCTGTGAAGCAACGCAGGCGCCGGAGGGAGAGGAAGCAGAAGCGAGGATGCCGTGCGGGCCTGCTTGCTAGGCTAAGGAAGCGGCCGCACCGACCAGCACTACCAAGCCTCTTCCTCGCAAATGCCAGGTCCATCGTCCATAAAATTGACGAACTGGAGATACTACTAGCTGCTAACACGAACGTACGCGACTGCTGTGTGTTGATCATCACAGAATCCTGGCTACACTCGCGGATTCCGGACGCAGCAGTGCAGCTACCAGGCCGCTCTACCCACCGCTTCGACAGGAACAGCGCTTCCGGTAAGAGCCGAGGGGGTGGTCTGTGTGTTTACATTCACAACGACTCAGCAGTAACTGAGCTGCTGCTGGCCACGCCCCTTTTGAGCTGCTGCTGGTCACGCCCCTTTTGAGCTGCTGCTGCTGGTCACGCCCCTTTTGAGCTGCTGCTGGCCATGCCCCTTTTGAGCTGCTGCTGGTCACGCCCCTTTTGAGCTGCTGCTGGTCACGCCCCTTTTGAGCTGCTGCTGGTCACGCCCCTTTTGAGCTGCTGCTGCTGGTCACGCCCCTTTTGAGCTGCTGCTGCTGGTCACGCCCCTTTTGAGCTGCTGCTGCTGGTCACGCCCCTTTTGAGCGTCCGCATGCAAGCAGTGATCTCTGTGAAGAGAAGGCTGTCTACCAGCAGAAACTTATGGAATGCCATTTAAGCCAAAATTAAATAAATAAATAAATAATTAAATAAATACATATATATATATAAATATGCCTATGAAATAAATTCTGAAATAAATAAATGAGGCAATAAATATGTATACATGTACATTTAAATACACATTTATTTATTTCATGGGACTTTTATTTCATAATGACACATTTATTTATTTCAAGAGACTTGTATTTCATAATGACACATTTATTTATTTCAGGGGACTTGTATTTCATAATGGCACATTTATTTATTTCAAGAGACTTGTATTTCATAATGACACATTTATTTATTTCAAGAGACTTGTATTTCATAATGACACATTTATTTATTTCAGGGGACTTGTATTTCATAATGACACATTTATTTATTTCAGGGGACTTGTATTTCATAATGACACATTTCCATTTCTTATATGCAAATGAACGGGGCGTGGTTAGCCCACAGATCCAGACCAAAGCAACAGCACCGCAACACTGACTCAATAGCTCTTGTTTCACACTCAGCCTGATTTAGCTCTGGTTCTTCCTGTTTCAGCCGCAGCGGAGCCGGCTCTAAACACCGAACACCGGTTCTTAGCTGACCCCACTTGGCTGCCCGGCAAGAACCAAGAACCACGCTCACGTCGGAAGGGGGCGAGATTAACCTGAGCCATAATAACAGTTTATGGTGAGTACGGAAAATGAAAGTTGTAACAAGCAGTAGCGCTGAGCAAAGTGACTAGAACGCAACCACACACTTATAAACAAACACACTTTATAAAGTCAGGCAACACTAACCAGGCTTCGTGTGATTCTGTTTATTTGTACCTTACTTTTATGGAATGCCATTTAAGCCAAAATTAAATAAATAAATAAATACATAAATAATTAAATAAATACATATATATATAATT